CTTTCCTCCGTGGAATAGGCAGCTGTCTCTTCCTCGAGCCTCCGCAGCGCCGGGGCCTCGACCAGGCAAAGCTCCGCCCTGGGTAGCAGGATGCCCTCGCCTGGGGGCTCGGGGCCCTGCTCCGAGAGCAGCTGGCGGAACTGGTGCACGCTCTGCCGCCGCCGCTCGTGGGCCTCCGAGTGGCAGCCAGCGGCGGCGAGCTCGTCGGCCTCACTCAGCAGCACGTCGCTCTCCGCGAGGCTCGAGGAACAGGTAGACGGCATGCACACAGCCACTCTCGGAGCTCCGCGCGGCTTGCTAGATCGGCGCTGGCCCCCCCTCCCCCCTCCCCGGCGCGCGGAGTGCCGCCGCGGGGGGTCCAGCGCAGAGCCAAGAATGAAATCCGCGCGGAGCTCCGACAGCCTGGGCGTGTGCAGCTGTCGCTCTTCCTCGGGATGCGCTCTCGCAGGCGCTCCAGGTCGTCGTCCTCCTCGCGCTCCTCGTGCGGCTCCTCCGGCGGCTCACCCAGGGCCGCGAGCCTTTCCGCGCAGATCTGCATCTCCGTCATGTAGTTGTTGATCTGCTGGCCCAGTCCAGCCGCCCCGCCGTCCGGCGCGGCGGGGGTGCCCGAGAGACAGTCTGGCTTGGAGGCGGCCGGGGGTCTCTGGTGGGGACCCTGCAAACAATCGGCCAGGACGGGGGATGATGCCAAGTCGGCTCAGAGTCGTTCCCCAGATCCCTAATTACTGGATCCCTCTGGTTGAATTTCTCACCCCGGATCCGTTTTTGACAGTCCTGGGGCTGAAAACGGCCCCTGGAGGCCGAAACAAACCCTCCATTATAGGTCGGGCGGATTTGGAGGAAAGATCACGAATACACAAAACATATGCAAACATGTGCAAAAACACAAAAAATCGTTCCTTTTTTCTTATACCATTTTTGAGTATTCCCCCTGTAGAGGGAAAGGCCCAACTTTCACCTTCCAGAACCCAGCGCCTCGAACCTGCCCTCCCCTCCCTGCTCGCTGGAGCCACTGCTGGGCCACCTCCGACCCCCAGCCGGCTCCAGAGCGTCTGGCATCGCCACAAGCAGGAGCCGTAGGCCTCTCCTGTACCTGCGGTGGGCCCAGGAGTGGCGGCCCGCTGCGCTGTGAGCGCGGGCGGCGCGGACGTAGGCCTGCTGGGCCCATTTTCCACCACCACGACCATAGGCAGGAGGAGGAGGAGGAGGAGGAGGAGGAGGAGGAGGAGGAGGAGGAGGAGGAGG